TGCTCCAGCTTTGGGTTACCTCGGGTAGGCCAGGGTCCCTGCCACCAGATGGGAGGGTCCACCCCGGGACAGGAGGTGGGACTCTGCCCTGTGGTCAGGGAGCTCGGTGCGGTGGTGGCATCACTGCTTGGTGGCCTTGGAGGCCCCTCGGAAGCATCCCTTTCTAATGGAGATGGATGATAGGGCCGCTTGGAGGAGCCCGGCTGCCGGGAGGGAAAGCAATTAGGTGACTAAGGGTAATCAGAGCCCGAGAGAGGTGACTGATGTGGACGAACAGTGGTCTGGCCGCCAGGGTGGCCCCGCCGTCGGACGCCAGGGTCCCGTCCCCAGGACCGGGCTGACTCTGGGACGGGGCGCACCCAGAGCCCTGTGAGGCCCACTCCTGCCCACGTGACCCCCAGGAGCCGCTTTGTCCTGCCAGGCCCGGGGTCCAGCGGCCCACCCGCCCACCCGTCCTCCCACCCGGGCGGTTCTTCTCTGGCGTCACCTGAGGGTGGCGTGATCCTCCCTGCCGCTTCCTGTTCTTCCCCTGGTTGCCTGTCCCCTTGTCTTCTTTCCTAATTCCTTTTGTCCCCCCACACTCCATGAGAGCATCAGGCCCCCACCCTGCCCCCCTCGATCCCCGAACAGCAAGGTCTGGCATGCACCAGGGGCTCAGGCAAATCTGTCCGTGGGGGTCTCCACCCACTTGGGGAGCTCTGGGGAACAAGGCCAAGGCTGCCCCTCTCTGTCCCTCCTCCAAGTAGTCTCCCTGGATCACAGCACCAGCTGCTCTGGGCCCGGGTACAGGTCTCCGCTTCCTCGCTGAGCTGGAGGCTCTGTCCCCAGAGCGTCCTGTCCCTGAGCTCCCACAGGGCAGCTGAGGCTGCAGAGACATGGTGCTTAGGCAGTTGGGGGACAGGAACCTCGGGACAGGCTCTTTTGTTTCTGGAAGCATCTGAATGTCAGAAATTTATTTTAATTTTGAGTCTAAAAATGGCTTTGTGAGTGTGCACACAAAGAAAGGTGGAGTGTGTGTGTCCGCGCGTGCACGTGTCTGTGTGTGCACTTGTGTCTGCATGTGTCTGTGTGTCTGTGTCTGTGTGTGCACGTGTGTCTGCATGTGTGTGTGCGTGCACATGTGCCTGTGCATGTGTCTGTGTGTGCGTGTGTGTCTGTGTCTGTGTATGCGTGTGTGTCTGTGTGTGCATGTGCAGTCAGTAATCACTATGTCTGTACAGCAGCAGTGGGTGGTGCCCACGCGCAGGCAGGATGTGGGTCCATCTGCCAGCACAATTGTCTCTGGGCGGGGCCAGTGGGTACTCCACTCTCTACCACATTCTTTCATGTTTTTACATTTTTCACAAGAAAATGAATAGTTTTTATAATAAAAGAAAAGGGTTCTGCACCTGAAAGGTAAAATGTAGCCAGCAAGCTAGACAGGCGGGAGCACCAGGGAGGGGCCAGACCCAGGGCCCCTGCAGCTGGCCCCCGCCTTGGCCCGGGCCCCCCTCTGCTCCCCGGTTCTCGTCCTTTCCAGACCCAAAGGCGGAGCTCACACTCCAGAGCGAAGAGCAGGCAGGGTGGGTGGACTCTGGGCACCCGTGGGGGACACCCGCCGAGAAGCTCATCATCACGCTGAGCGGCGAGATGGCGGAAGGTCCGGCCATTGCTGCCCGCCTGGCTGGGAACCCAGTGCGGGCTCCGGGCACCAGGCATTCCCGTGGCAGCCTGGTTGTCCTGGGGGCAAGGGTGCGTCCCTTGCCTGCCGACAGGGACGCTTGCCAGAGGCTCTGTGCGTGTTCACCTGGCTGCCAGTCATGCCAGAGGACGTGGTCAGGGCATCACGCCCGGAGGGCGCGTGCCACCCCTGCAGGTGACCCCAGACCACGAAGACGCCTCGTACCAGGCGATGCCACCGCTCCGGGCCTGCCTCCCGCTGTGAAGCTGGAGCAGCGAGGGGCCCACCAGCCTCGAGCACAGGTTCACCTGCTCCAGGTGCCCGGGCACCCCAGCCCCAGCAGGGGCGCAGGGGTGGGCAGCTGTCAGCCTGTTCTTCGGGGTGTTTGAGTGTCTGTCATCACCAGGCTCTGTGTAGTCGAAGACAAGCAGACTGTGGTGGGGGTTTGTTTGCTGAGTTGCCTTCAAAACAGTCACCGGGGGTTGAACTTTCTCACGTCCCTCCGTACATTGTGAGGACAGCCCCCGTGTCTCCGGGGCCAGGGACGTGATAACCCTGCCTGGGACGCGGGTGAGACGCTGGGGGTGCCACTGGGGACTCCATCCAGCAGCTTCTAACCCGGCCACCGGTGGACAGCCTTAGGTGAGGCGTGAGGTTCTGAATGCCCCCGCCTCTGCCCACCCCCGCCGCCACCTGTCAGCAGGGGCAGCTCAGGACTCCCATTCACTACAAGGCGTAAGGGACGCGCTGCGAGCTCTCATAGACGCGCTGGCATTCCACAGACATCGCCAAAGGAACGAAATTCTACTGGTGGAGTTTCCGGCTAGCTGCGGAGAGAGAAGTTTGGGCAGTAGGCAGGCCCGAAGCACGTCTCACCCGAGCCAAAAGAGTGGGGTGGGTGTCGGCTCTGCCAGAGCGGGCCCTGGGGAGCTCCCGGCAGGTGCACAGATGGTGAGGTGATGGATGCACGGGTGGACGGGAGGGTGGGGGTTGGGGTGGGGGACCCTGTGGCAGAGTTGTGTTCCCAGAGCTGCTCCCACAGGGCGGCAGAGGTCGGTACTGGTGCTGGTGGTTCTGACGTCAGCCCCCCAGGCGAGTCCGGGCTGCCAGGGGGCTTGAGGGGAGGACAGGGGCTCTCTCGGGGCCCTGCAGGCTGGGAAGACACCTTCCTTCTTGACCCCCAGGCAGAACTGGGGAAGGGGAGAAGGTGGGGACACCCCAATTCAGAGGCACCTCCCGTGGGGCGGTGTCCAGGCTGCCTGCTGGCAGGAGGCTGCAGACAGGGGTGGCTGTGGAGGGGACAGGTCAGTGCCCTCCATCCCCGTCCCAGGCCCCCCGCCTGCTGACCCCTCGGGACAAAGCAGCTTTGCTCCCTCAGTTCCCTCAGCTGGGGCCGTGGGGACCAGAGTCAAACGTCACAGGATCCCAGACCCCTTCATGGGGTCTTCTCTGCGCTCAGACCACAGATCAGAAAACTGAGGCTCGGGAGGGGCCAGTGTGGGCTCAGGGCTCCCCGACACCAGGCCTGAGGGGACCCCCTGGCTCATGGGGGACGCTGCTCCTGAAGCTCTGGAGGGTGGGCAGGCCCTGAGCTGGGGGATCCTGGCTCCCAGCCCCCCAGCCTCTGGGAGAGACGACCAAAGCCCACATTTTGGTCAAAGGGTCCCCGTGGGGGTGTCTGCTGCGCCAGCAAATACGTGTTGAACGGACGAGCGAGTGAGTGAACGGGCGCCCGCGTGCTGGCCCACCGCCCCAACACTGCAGCCAGTCACGGGTCCACCATCTCCTGTATTGAGAGACTCCGGGGTTCTGACGGCTGTACATGGTGGGGGCGTGTGAAGCGACAAGACGACTGACCCGTTGCGGCGGGCTCCAGGACCAGCCCCGGCGCATGGCACACGGGCCCTGGAGCAACCACACGACGAGGCCGGGGGCTGACGTGGAGGAGGAGGTGGACACCGGACAGCAGGGAAGAGGACGTGGGGCTGCGGCTGGAGGGTCTGGGGTGGCGGGCGTCTCCGTCTCGTGTCCACTCTGCCGCACCTCAGAGGACTGCCCGTCTGTTCCAGGCCGGGTCTTCCGGGACAGTCACCTCCAGCCCTGGCCGAGGACCCGCTCATGGGCCCGACCCCCGGTCCGTTCTCAGAGGGCTGGAGGCCCTGCGGCTCGGGAAGGATTTGGTGGGGTTCAAGTCACCCCAACACGCAGCAGAGTGGCCAGGTCTGAAGTGACTGTGCCCTGCTCACTGTGTCTGTGGACGGGGAGACCGAGTCCAGGACCCCGGGCGAAGGCGAGGGCTTCTGAGTCCACGCTGCCCACGCAGGCTGCCTGCCCGCCTGGCTGTCTCCCTCCCGGACAAACGGGCCCCTGCCCAGGCAGAAACTACGAGACAATGGCCTGCGCCTGGCTTCTGGGCCTTTGTGTCCGGAGGCCCGGGCTGGTCTCGGGCCAGGCTGCCGAGCCGTTTGGAGACTGGCTCCTACAGACCACGGAGGCGCCTGCTTTTCTGGGTGACGGGAGCCTGGGGCTGCTGCCTGCCGGCTGGTGACAAACAAGTCTGGGCCTCAGCCTGGCTGCCGGCCAGTGGGCTGCGAACCCACAGGCCTCCCCTCACCTGCGGCTGCCGGGGCCCGGTGGCTCCCCGCTGCCTCCTGGCACTGGGCCGAGAGCGCCCCACAGTCGAGTTGGAGCACGTCCCTGGCCTGGCCTGGGCCACCCGGTGGGAGCCAGGATGGAGGACTTCGAGGCCGACCCTCCTCACCCCACCCCAACCCCACGAGGTGTCCCTGCAGAGCCCGGCTGCCACCTGGCGAGGAGGGGAAGGAAGAGGGCCACAGCGATGCAGGCTGACCTTCCCCATCCTCAGGGTGCCTCCGAGGAGCCGCCCGGGAGAGGGGGGTCCCCGGGTGCCTGCTGCTCTGGGGGGGACTTGCTCCTGAGCTGCACCAGAGGCGGAGGGCATGGGTCCCCTCTTCCTTCACAGCGGTGACCTGCCACCCGGCTCCTCCCAGCACCCAGCCTTTCATCTCTCCTCTCGGAGCATCCATTAGTCTGGGAATAAAACTACCTTTCGCCCATCACACATTTCTCCTCATTAAAGGCTCTTTTTGGGTCTGGGAGAGAAAAAGTCTCTCTGGCTTTGAAAGAGTGGAGAAGGGAGGGATGGAGGGCGGTGGTGGGGGAGGAGAGGGGTGAGAGAGGGCATCTGGGTGTGAGGTCCGAGGCCGCTGGGCACAGGGCCGGCCTCTGGCTCACCGCACTCCAGCTGCAGGTGCGGGGGGCAGAGGTGAAGGCCAGTCGGCAGGCCAGCCTCCCCACCCTGCCCGTCCCCGTCCCCGCCCTAGTACAGGGTCTCCCTGGTGACGTTGCTGGAGAAGGTGTGGCTGCTAGACATGCTGTTGGTCTTCCTGGAGAAGGCGAACCTCTTCCTCCTGCGCCCCCACAGCGGGCAGAGGCAGGCCAGGGTGGCCAGGAAGGTCTGGCGGAAGTTGGTGGAGACGAGGTTGTACAGGATGGGGTTGATGGCGGAGCTGACGTAGAAGAGGGCGTTGGTCAGCATGTAGAAGTAGTGGTAGAAGTTGTAGAGGAGCCTGTGGGAGGCGGAGCTCAGAGGCCTGCGGTGCCGGCTGCGGCCCACGGCCACCGGCCGGCACGGCCGCTCGGGGCAGCGATTTAAAAACGACATACTTTTTTGGATGTGAGGACATTTCATACAAAACTCCAGGTTCTGGCTTCTGCTGAGAAGTTGGAAGTTCTGACTGCAGTCCCCACCTGGCACCTGTCAGCCCAGCTGAGCTACAAGCATCTGCCCCGGTCCCCACCTCTCCCTGCAGCCACCCAACTGCCCTGCCCTGTGCCGATCCCAGGCCCCAGGGCTGCAGGGCTCCGCTGTGCTGGCCTCAACCGAACAGCTAGGGCAGGGAACCCCTCCAGGCCTTCTGCATAGCAGTGCCCCTTGCCCTTGGTTTGTTTGCCTCCACCCACGGGGATCTCACTCCCTTGCCAGACTGCTCATTTCACCACCAGGCACCCGGAGGTTCAGAAACCCTTTATTCAGGGCTCCCTGTAACTTCTCATCCACCCTAGATGTGTCCTCCTGTGGTTCCCTTCACTTTGAAGAACTTGGACCTGCAGCCCAGCAGAAAGGAGCTCACCGCCCTGGCCGGTTTGGCTCAGCGGTTGGAGCGTCGGCCTGCGGACCAGAGTCCCGGGTTCGGTTCCCGCTAGGGGCACGTACCAAAAAATAAAATAAAGTTAACAATAAAAAAAAGAAAGAAAGAAAGGAAGGAGCTCAGCAGGCCTGAGGTTGCACCCCAGAAAGGCCGCATGGCTGCGGCTCTCAGTCCCTCCCGCCCTCCGCCCTCCACATCCAGGGCACCGGCCCGCCCCGTGGCTCTGCCGCTGTCTCTAGCCCTCCTCAGTGCCCGCTCTCCCAGCACCCGCTTTCCTCCTGCTGCCCAGCGTCGGTCCCTCCGCGGCCTCCCCCCTTCCCCAAGCCCATGGGGGACACCTGGCCCACACCCTGCCCTGAGCTGCTCCTCCCAGTGCTCCCCAGGCCCACTGTTTCGGGGAGCACACTCCCGCCCCGCCTCCTGGCACTCACAGGGTCCACTGCTCCTCGGGAATGTAGCAGAACATGAGGCGCCGCACGTGGTAGGGCAGCCAGCAGACCACAAAGGCGATGACCACTGCGCCTGGGACAGACAGAGACAGGCGCAGGGAGCTGAGGGGGCGCCCCGTGCCTGCACCGCACGACCTACCGTGTGACGCTGTCAGTGCCACCTGAGCAAGGCACAGGCTCGGTGCGACCCCTCTCAAAATCCCCGCGGCCTTTACTGTAGAAATAGAAAAAGCTCACCCTAAAATTCCTATGAAATTCCAAGGGTCCCTGAATAGACAAAACAACCTCAAGAGATAAGAAAACAAAAAAAGCCCTGGCTGGTTTGGCTCAGCGGTTAGAGCGACAGCCTGTGGCCCCGCCAGTCCTGGGTTCGGTTCCCGCTAAGGGCATGTACCTCGGTTGCAGTTTGTCCCCGGCCCCGGTTGGGGCTGTGTGGGTGGCAGGCAGTCGATGTGTCTCTCTCACGTCGATGTTTCTCTCTCTCTCCCTCCCGCTTTGTCTGAAGATAAATGCAAAAATGTCCTCGGGTGAGGATAAAAAAAAAGAAGAAGAACAAGCTGAAGGACCCCACATCCTGGTTTTCAAACCCACCACACTGCTCCAGTGAGCACAGCAAAGTGGTCCTGGCCGAGACAGACACTAGGTCGGGGACAGGACAGAGCGCAGAGCAAACTTTCACACGGGCAAGTGACCTGTGGCCAGGCGTCAAGACCGTTCCGGGGAAAGGACAATCCTTCCAACACACGGTGCTGGGGAATCTGGACATCCACCTGCAGAAGAACGCAGTCGGCCCTGACCTCACACAAAATGATACAAAACATGCGAAATACACAAACATTAGCTCAAGACAGGTCAAGGACCTAAACGTAAGAGCTAAGAGTGTGAAACTGGAAGAAAACGGGACGCGAGCTTCACAACACTGCACTTGGCAATGACGTCTTGGGTATGACACCAAGGGCTGGGCTAGAAAAGAAAAAATGAACAAATTGGACTTGAAAATTAAAAACTGCACTGAAGGGCACAGTCCAGAGTGGAAGGGCACCCAGAACGGGAGATCCCGTTTGCAAACTGCACATCTGATAAGGGGTTACTACAGAGAACTTCTAAAACTCAGCAACAAAACAATGGACCCACCACAAAACTGGGCAACAGGTCCGGCCAGTGTGGCTCCGTGGATGGAGCGTCGTCCCAGGGACTGAGAGGTCCGGTGTGATTCCCC